AAGAGCTCTGAAACCTTGTGAACAATGGAGGATTTAAAAGAAACCGCTTACAGTAAAGGACATTAAAAAAAAAGACATTACACTTTTTTTGTTAATGAATTGACGCTTCTTGTATAGGAGAACTTCTTTTGTCCTTCACATTTGATGACTAATTTATAACAAAATGGCTTTAGAACAGTGTGTTAATGGTATTATGTCTGGCTCTCATGGTCTGCTTAATCAAGTGCTCTGGTCTGTCTTTTTCCCCTCTCCCTAAGTAAAAAAGTGCCATTTCCATTTTGTAGCAATTATGTTCTTCACACTGAGTATTGTGTTTTAATGGAAATTTTAAGGAGATTATTGCAGATAAATGTACTGATTTTTTTTAAACTCTCCAAATCTGCTGACTCCTACACTAATGCCGACTGTTTAGATATAAATTGGCATCTTTAATCTTTGCTTGTTGCCAGGACTGCCTGTAGCCAGACTTCACAAGAGCCATGTTTGCCTTCTGGCAATTCATCAGTCAATCTTCTCACCTGGGATACCAATGAGATTTTTCCAGTGTTGGAGGTGGTGTGAAACTAGTGTCATCGCTCCTCATACTTATACTCAGAATTGTATTTGGCAAATATTCTTTGCATGCTTTTGAAGTGTGGAAAAATTCATATAGTTCTATATCTATCCTCTGAGAATTGTGAGCTGGAGTCACACTTGCAGAATAGATTTTCCTTTTGCCTGTTCTCTGCAGCTGCTCAAAAAGCTGGTTCTGAGGATTGGCAGACCCTCAGGAATAGCATGGGGTGCATCTTGAGTGGTGAATCCACTGAGATCATGGAAAACCAGTTCAAATGAGCAGAAGTGCCTTTTTCCCAACTCACCTGTGAATCTCTTTTTTAAAAATATGTTTTATGTAGTGTTAAATATAATTTTAAGTAGGTAGGTAAGTATCGTTTTATTGTATATGGCCATAAGCCTTCACAATATCAAAACACTCTCAAAAAGTTTATACATTAACATACAGTAGAATGTTTCAACCTCTAGTAAAACAGAAAACACCTGTTAAAATTATTTCAACCTCTGGTCTTTAAAACCAATGAGACCTTTTAAAATCACTCACTTGGTTGCAATGGTACTATTTGATTTCTTTGCTCTAATTTTTCTAGCAGCCAAGGCAAAGAGAGCCAGTCTTGAAGAAATGAAGGGGTCCTTATCTGAGAGGAAAAAAGGCCATCTTTTCATAATCAGACAGGGGGTATAGGGCTGTCAATATCTTTGCTAAAAGTTTGGTCCTGGGTTCTACATATAAAGGACAGACCAGAATGTAGTGGGGAAGGTCTTCCACTGACTGTCCACATGTACACATGCGCTGGTCTACTGGAATTTTTTTATCTCAACCAGCAAGCATCTTCAAAGGCATAGTTTGAAAACACACTGAAGTAAGGGATCTCCTAAGATTATATGACATTATGTTGTTTAAGTAAGAGGCTCTTGAGTGGTCCTTTTTATTATTTTAAACCATGGAGCGAACCTCAATTGGGCAATCAATGTGGCATCTATTAGCTCATCCTCTCTAAACATCCATTCACGTAGGTTAAAGCAGGTCATCTGGAATAGTATATCTGTATGTTGAAGCAGGTCATCTGGAATAGTATATCTGGTAACGATATAATTAAGACATTCAGGGCGGGCATTGTCTTTGTCATTCAGTAGATGGTAACTAAATTTGCTGAATGCATCTGGACTTTTTAGTTGGATTTTTCCCCAAGATTTTAGAATCATCAAATGAGCTTGCACCTTCACTGATGGAAGTCCCAGTTCGGCTTGTAACAGGGCAGCCAGTGTTCCTTTTGGAAGTGCCAAGATACATCTCATAAATAGGTTTTGAACTATTTCTAACCTAAGGAGTTTCCATCCCCATATCTCGATGCCATACAATAATTGAGAAATTATTTTACTAACAAAGAGTTTCAGCACTGGGTCTATGAGAAAACCTCCTCTGGAGTAGTACAATCTCAATACAACTCCCATCATCTTAAGGGCTAAAGGTTTAGTAGATTCTATATAGAAACCATTTAAGGGTTTCACTAAAGGTTAATCCCAGGTATTAATAACTTTTTAAAATTTTAAATGACAACAACAACAACAAAGCATTCAAAACATTGAACTACATTGGAACTAGGTACAGTTATGCTGAAGCTTCTAAAATGCTACAAGTTTTACATTCGGTGAAATAGTTCATAATACTTTTCTGAAACCGTGAATTTCAAAGATTCAACATTAAACATAAACTCAAGAAAGGTAAACCATTTCAGATGAAGATTAGAGTTCATATGGTAATGATTAGTATTAGCAAGTACATCAGAAATCTTATCCATAATATAGAAATCCCAAATTTTCAATCTCTTAAAAAGATAATAGTAATTTCTTGGGGGATTTCCAACTACTGGCTATGACCACCTTAGCTGCTATCAATAAGGTTGAAATAAGGTCTTGTCTAATTTTAGGGATATGAGAAGCGCTCCAATAATCTAAAAGTATAACATCTGGTTGCATAAAAATCAAATAGCCTGTAATATCTTTAATTGCTAAAATTACTTTAGACCAGAAACTTTGAACATACGTACACGACCACCAACAATGGATGAACGTACCTCGTTCACCACAGGATCACCAGCAATGAGAGGGATTCAACGTGGATAATTTATGAAATCTTGTGAGAGTAAGGTACCATCTGGCTAGGATTTTATAACTTTGATTTTGAATATTTAATGAGGAGGATCAAAGTGATGGTGATGACCAGATTTTATCCCAATCTGAGGATGAGAATATAGTTTCGCAGTCAGTTTGCCATGCCTTTTGATAACTCAAAGGTTTTGTTGATTGAGAATAAAATAACTCTTTGTATATGAGCGATATGTAACTTTTAAATTTGTTTAGGTTTAGTTTCATCAGACGCTCAAAAGCTGTGAGTGGCCTGTTTAGTTCCATGTGCCTCTTAAAGGAATCAACTAAGTGGGTAACCTGGTTATATTCGAACCATGATATTGAACAATTGTGGTTTTTTTCTAATTGGTTTTTGGCAATAACACAATTATTTGCAATAATAGAATGAATATTATTAAGTTGATTTCCCCCCCCACGTTGTGTAAGTTAAATGAGTTTGTCCAGGGAGGAACCAGGAAACATCCGTGAAGATTGTCATAGGTGAAGTAGGTTGAGCTAAGATGTTTTTCCATTTATCCCAGCTAGTCATTATAGCGGAGAGAGAGATGTTTCAGTGAAGTGATGATGGTCTATGCGAGCTGATTTCCCATAACAAGGATTGGAAAGGGACTCGAGGTAAGTAGGTTCCTTCTAAAACTTTCCAGTCTGTTGTGAAAGAGGTGCTGTAGAATTTTAACATGCCCAACAATATCGTAGCATTGTGATAAAGTTGTAGATCAGGAAAGTCTAAACCGCCTGAAGTTTGTGATCTTCTTAATGTTTCATAAGAGACTCAATGAAGCTTTGAGTTCCAGATGTATTTGGAGGTCAAAGTTCTCCAATGTTTAAATGATATAGGTGTTTCAATTTGTATAGTTCTAAATAGATATTGAAACTTAGGTAGAATAAAAGTCTTGAAAATCTGGATTCTTTCTATCCATGAAGAGAGTGCTGAAGCTTTGTTTAGTTGTAGATCAGTAAAAAGTTTGGTTCATGGTTGAAAATTGACTTTGAAGAGATCCTTCACATTTAACAGAATCTGGATTCCAAGGTAATGCCAGGATTTTGTCACCCATGTATAGTTATAATGATTTTCTAATGAATTGTTGTTGAGCTTCGGTCAGATATATGGGGTAAAGTAAGGTTTTAGCATGATTAATTTTAAGACCGGCTATTTGACCGAAAGATTCGTGTAGCCTAACAATGGGATTTAGTGAGGCTGCCGGTTGAGTTAAATAAACTACCATATCATTGGTGAAAAGACTTAATTTGATTTGCTCTTTACCAATGGGGATTCCGTGGATGCTGGGGTGGGCCCTGATAGCCTGCGCTAGTGGCTCTATAGCAAGGTCGAATAAGATGGGAGAGAGTGGGCACCCTTGCCTCATTCCACATGAAAGTTTGAAACTAGGAGATGAGGAGCCGTTGATTCCAAGGAGAGCTGTGGGAGATTTGTAGAGTGTATGGACTGTTTTGAGAAATTAAGGACCAACACCAAAGTTGTCAAGGACTGCTGCAAGATAGGTCGGTTCTACAGTGTTGAACGCTTTCTCCACATCAATGGAGAGGATTAATGATGAGGATATTTTGTTTGAAAGACAGTACTGTATGATGTCAATGGTTTTCCTTGTGTTATCCGCAATATCCTTTCCCAGGATAAAACCCATTTGGTCTGGGTGTATCAGAGAACCTATGAATTTGTTGAGTCTCGCTGCCAACGTTGCCATGAAAATCTTATAGTCCGTGTTAAGCAATGAAATTGGGCGATAAGATCCTGGGTTGGTCAGGTCTCGGTCTTTTTTAGGGATGACTATTATCTTTGCCTGATTCCATGTTGGAGGAATGGCTTCACCATTCATGATAGAGTTACAGGTGGTGGCTAGATGTGGAGCCAATAATGTGTTAAACTTCTTATAGAATTCAGCTGTGTACCCATCACATCCAGGTGATTTGTTATTCTGGAGGCATTTGATAGTGTCTTCAATTTCTTGTGATGTAATCTGACTATCCAGAAGATATTTGTTCTGGGAAGTTAAATGTTTTTGTAAACTATGTCTGGAGAGAAAGGAGAGAATAGTTTCCAATGAGGGATTCTCAGATGTGTAAAGATCCTGATAGAATTGATGAAAAGTAGAGATAATCCCTTTGGTAGTATGATGTCGCCTTTTTTGTCCCAAATTGACGAAATTAGATTGTTAGCTCTTTTTTTCTTTAGTTTCCAGGATAAAAGCTTGATGGTGTGTGGCCCTTTGTGCCAGTAGCGTTGTTTCAACAGGATTATATTCTTTTGTATTTGGGAAATTTCAATCGATTCGAGCTTTTTTATTTCTAGGAGTAGTTTCCTGTATGTCTTCTTGTGTCCAAATTTCTGATGTTCTTCTTCTAGATTTTTAATTTTGTCTTTTAGCTCTGATTTAATTAGTTCTTTTTGTTTTTTGCAGGTGGACAGCCTTGAAAGCGTCCCACACAATATGCTGAGGAACACCACACAAATCGTTAAATTTAAAATATTCCACTGTATTCTTTTCAACATCATCTGTGATTGAAGTCATTAATAAAATATTATTATTAAGTCTCCAAGATGTGTCTCATTTAGTGCTGTCAAGGTCTTGCATACTGCACTCACCCCAGGAGTGGTCGGACCATATGCAGTTGTCAGGGCTATTTTTGGGCAGGAACGCACAGGAACGGAGTTCCGGCTGGCTCCTGAGTTTGCCATGCCTAGCAGGAAGTCATTAGCATAATAGGGCACACCCAACAGCAGAAACTCATTAGGATTGGCTAAATGCGGGGTGTGTGGTCTAACATGCAAAGGGTTCCTGCTACAAAAAAAGCCCTGGGTTTTGACAACAAACAAGGTAAACAGAATAAGAAGCAAAAGGTGGGTGTGGCTGGATGACCACACTTCTGGTAACATGGGGGTGTGGCCTAATATGCTAATGAGTTTCTGTTGTTGGGTGTGGCCTATTATGCTAATGAGTTCCTGCTGGGCTTTTTCTACAAAAAAAGCCCTGGCAGTTGTCAATATCTGCTGAAATGAAGGAGTTAATAGTAGAGTCCAATACAATAATGTAGTTGATACGGGTATGCATGCAATATTTTTTTAGGGGAAATGTGTAACACCTTTCTGTAGGATGCCTGTCTCTCCATAGGTCACACAGATTGTGGCTTTTAAGAAGAAATTGAAATTTCATGGGGTATTTGGTATTCTTCTTTAATGGTGCTTTGTGTTTAGGTTCGGCCCTTGAACTGTCCAGGTTGGGATCTGAAATTAAATTTAGATCACCCCCTATTATATAAGGGCCATTACTGAAGGAGTCTAGAATGTTGTAAGTTTCCTTAATGAAATCCAGTTGCCCTTCATTTGGGGCAGAAACCGAAGACAATGTGAGAAGTTTATTGTTAATTACTCCTTCAGTCATGAAGAATATCTACCCTGGGGGTCTTTTTTAATCTTATTCATGGTGAATCTGATTTTTTTTACTTATTAGTATCGCAACTTCCCTTGATTTTGATGATCCGGGGGCTAGATATTGATAAGAAAAATAGTTAGTATTAAAAACTTTTGTTTGCTTACTGTTGAGATGCGTTTCCTGAAGGAAGATGATGTCTGGTCTTTGAGATGTCAGAGCTGATTGTAATCTCTTTTTTTTATTACGTTGATCAGACCGTGACAATTAAGAGAAATAAATTTAATTTCATTTTGTGTAGTCATGGTGATTTAAATATAAATGGCAAGATATGGCAAACCGTACAAGGTATGAGTTCATTAAGAGCTTGGAATTAAAATATTTGAATCTGGTTGTAAATACATAATGACTATAAGTAATTGGCAAGATATGGCACTGAGTATAAAATAGGAGTTCAGTGAGTAAAAATAATCTTTAGATGAAGCTTCTGGTTGATTTAAATTGATGAAGAAGGGGTTGAGTAAATAGAGAAGAACAATTTGGTGGAAAAAATTCATTAACACAGAAGAGGCAGCATGCAATAATTGTTGTTTAGACTGGGTGTTTGGGAGAAACCCAATACACATTACAAACATCTTTCCTTTTGATTTTAAGTTCCAAGTGCTCATTAAAAACTGTGAAATCAGTAACAGCGAAAATTCAGTAACCATACACAAATGAACCAACTATAATCCCTTTTAGTCAGGGAATGGTCAGGTAATGTCATAACAAATACAAAAAACTATGTAATAAACCCTGAAAAAGGAACTAGAACCCTTTGGGGCTCCCCTCCCCTATGAAATCACCTGAAGGTGAAATCTAAAAGATTGTCTCATTTAGCCCATCAATCATATAATTAGGCAATTTATATTGAAAACATTGGATTATTAAATAATTATAATGAGGAATTAAAAAATAGTAAACCTTTAAAGTAAACTTTACCACTTTTTGAATTCAGTCTCCCTTAACTTATTGTATTGAGATTATCATTGCCCCGTTAAAGGAAGAGCTGAAAATAAATGTAGTGAATGTTGTCTTTAAGTGAGGCAGAAGTTCATGCGTTCTTTTTGGATCTTGCCTTCCTCCAGTGGCGCAGGGATTGATCTTCATTTCCTCCGTCGTCTTCTTTAGGGATTTCTGATGGCAAAGGTAAGTTCAGATCTGATAACATTTGTAGACCAGCATCAAAATCATTGATAAGGTGTGTGGAGTCTTGGTGCGTAATTAGTAGCTTGCTGCATGTTGACCATTGATACTTTATTCCAGCAGATGTAAGTGCTGAGGTTATTGGCTTCAATATTTTTCTCTTCTGCAGGGTCTCTGAGGAGAGGTCTTGTAGAACAGAGATCTTCAAGCCTTTATATAAAAGAGATCCTTGGGCGCGTGCTGCAGTTACGATTGCTGCTCTTGTGCGTGTGTCTGGGAATTTAGCGATTATGTCCCTCGGTAGAGCTCCCTTCTGCGTTCTAATTCGGCCTGCCATATAGGCCCAGTCAATGTATGTCGCAACGCCATCATCCAATTTTAAGATCATAGTTAGGATGCTAAAAAGGAACGCAAGTCTGTCTGGCCTTCTTTGTTTTCGGGCAGTCCACGAAACTTAATATGAGTAGCTTTCAAGGGGCATTATACGATCGGTCGCCCACTCCTCCTGCTTGTAAAAAACCCGGGCGTCATCCTGTAGGGTAATGCTGGCCTCTAAAGCTACATCGGCCGTTTGAGTTAGCTTTGATAAAGCCATTTTCAGTTCAGTAAGTTGAGCCGTGACTGGCTTGATCAGCTCCGTGAAGGCGGCTGTCATGTTCTTCTCTAGCATTTGAAGGGAAGCAAAGAATTCCGTTCTCGAGACCGCCAGGCCTTCATTGCACGTGTCTGGGTTATCGGCCGCCATTTTAGGTTCAGTAGGCGATTGCACACCCTGAGGAGAGCGTTGCAAAAAAGTCGGGATCGCTTGCTGCGTTGTCTTTGAAGGGTTATTTTTGAATCGTAGAGATTTTCCCATAACTTTTGGTAGGTTTAGTATGCAAGTGGATGAGCTAATGGTGATGAATTAGAGAGGGTTCGTACGGAGCTGAGAGCTCAGGCGTCCATCTTTGTCAAGTCTGACGCCACGTCCCCCCAATCTCAGGTATTT